GGAGATGGCAGGATGAGGACAGTGAGCAGGCAGCAGGGAGATGGCAGGATGAGGACAGTGAGCAGGCAGCAGGGAGATGGCAGGATGAGGACAGTGTGCAGGCAGCGGGGAGATGGCAGGATCAGGACAGTGTGCAGGACCAAGAGGTGAGTTAGAAATTAGGCTGTACTTTAAGATCTACTGTATCATCAAGACATATATTAGCCTAATAGGTAAATATTTATTTCTGATGGCTGTTAGAGCTGGGGGGACTGAGAGGGCAGGAATAACACCAGACTGCTGGACCAGACCAGGCTGTTTGTAAATGTATAGGCTTATTACTTTTACTAGTATACTTCTCCTAGGATAATTCCTGGGAGTTATCAAAACCAAATTCTTTTGGATAGGGATAAGGATAATGAGATCTTCTGTATTGATTCTCATTTTGTCGCATGTCCAGACCATGACCACATGTGTTGCATACATGTTAGCAAACACCCCTAGCGCATCTTGCACTCTTAACATTGATCCTGGTGGCGACTATTCATATTGACGCGGTAGCAGACCGTAATGGTCATAGAAGTGTTATGAAGGCAGTACCCCCCAATTATGGAGGGGTAATTCGCACTCTGATGCAGACTGAGAATTGAGGCATCAGCCAATACATTCCAGTGGACATTCCGTTAACGATATCAGGACTGCAGAGAAATACACATGGTGCTTTTCATGGCAGCCAGCATTACAGCGAGAACTACAACTGGTAAGCTCCCTGAAACAATATCCTGTCCTGATCTGGCCAATTTCTTGCACCCTGTGCCCATGACTCGCATACTTGGCATACTCAGTAAAAGGAAGATGACTGTGTTTTATCCCCATCACTTTGATGCTCATTTGTGGGGGTATCTGGGAGCACATGAGACACCCGGCACAGGTGACTGTACAAGATCCATCATTTTAAAACATTAGGTTAAATACATTATCCTCAGACAATTTAATGTTGCCAGTATAAACATTTATATATTAATTACTGCACATATTTACATATATAATAGTAAAAATGAAATTGATAATTTGACAGTGGAATTAATGTGGAATTAAAAAGAATCGCCTTCAAGCAGGTAAAACCGTGAAGTCTTCTATCTGCAAACTGATCTGAGGTCAGTGACAGCTCAGGTATAGGTGCTTTTCCTCTCAGGATCCTGTGTGAGCAATAGAGCGACACAACCCTTGTCACGTGCCCACTGGTACCTGAAAGGGAAAGAAAAAGCTCAGAGGTTCCCCTGGCACTGACAGTATTGTGATCACACGGCAGCCTTCATTCCGTCCTCCTTACAAAGAGCTACAGGATGCATCTGCTCCTTGCTCACTCACCCATTTTGACCAGGGATTAGCAGGCTGTCTCTGGGGGAGAGCGAGTACGGGGTGCTGTCCACAGTCACTTGGGATGTTCCTTCCTGTGTGGGACAGAGACGGTCGATGCAAAACAGGCAGGTGGGCACATGGGGGCAGCAGTTCCCCGGGGGACCGTCGTGGGCGGAGCCATCACACATCACACATGCGCTCCACTTATTTCTCTCCTTGCTGTCAAATCAAACCGGAAGGGGGAGGTTCCAAAGACCCCACACTCTTTTGGGTCGGCCCGGGGACATACCAGCTGCCAGATCCAAACATCAGTGTTGCGTGTGCATGCCGCCGTCTGCCCTGGCCCATACAGCACAGCCTGAGAGGCAGGAGATCGACGTCAGTGGAGTCCCTCCTATTACAACAGGCTATCAGCAAACTCAAGCTCACCTCCCGGCCGTAGTGTCACTAGTTCAGCCCTAATGGACCCCATGTCTCAGCAGAACTATGCCTGCCCTGCCCTGTCACAGCCACCGCGGCAGGCCGAACGTCCCAGAGCCCTGACTCT